TTATATACATAAGAATTGATAATTTAAAAAGTTAGAAAAGTACAGATTTTCTAATCATCTAGTTCAGAGAAATTCTAAAACTCTATCTAAAATTAGAGAAATATAAATTTAGCATTACCAAGAATATACTTCTCTATTTACACAAAAATCCAAAATTGTGAATCGAATAAACAAAATTATAATTATCAGATAAAATCGAGGATATACTTTTCTATTCACTCGAAATCAAAAATTTTGCACGTAGAATCTTGAATAAACAAAATCATAATCTGAGAAAAACGGCATGTTAGGATTTACCTCTTTATTCACGAAAATTTTGTACGAAGAGATTAATCGCAGAAAAATGAGAGAAGAATTGAAGAAGAAGTGAGAGAAGAAAATGATGACGATGAAGAAGAAAGATTGTGTCTGGGTTTGCGTGGGGAAATGGCTTCACCGTCCTTTTGAGTAAAAAAAAAATGGGTATGCTAATATCTACGGTGAAATCACTGTTTAGCTACAGTAGAAATCCAAACACTATTGCAATTACAGTGAATTTTTTTCATCTTTCTATAAGTAGTTAGAAATAAAAGATTCCATAAATGGCCAAGGCTAGCTATAAAAAGGCCTTGGAATCACTTCAAATCTGCCAGAGTTAAAGACTCTAACCTCCCACCCTACCCCACGTCACCACACCTCTTCTCCATTTCCCTCTGCTAAAATACAAATCTCATAACCCATAACCATCCTTTTGCTTTTGAATGGCACTCCCTGAAACCCAACAAGAAGCTGCTGAAACTGTCCCGGATGCCTGGGACTACAAGGGCCGCCCAGCCCAAAAGTCCTCCTCTGGCGGCTGGACTAGCGCTGCCATGATTTTAGGTCGCGTACTGCATACCAAAAATATATTATGAATCTACGGTCTATTTATTTAATCCCGTTTCTAAATTTGGTTTTTTATGATTAGGAGTTGAGGCTTGCGAGAGGTTGACAACTCTAGGAATAGCTGTTAACCTAGTGACATATTTGACTACTACCATGCATTTGGGCAATGCTAGCTCTGCAAATACAGTCACTAATTTTCTTGGAACTTCTTTCATGCTATGTTTACTCGGTGGCTTTATCGCGGATACATTTCTGGGAAGGTAATGTTTGAGTTTTTCTTTTTAATATATATTTTTTAGTTAAAAATTTTTATTTTTGTTCATTAAATTTGTTGAAATTTTCTTATAGGTACCTGACTATTGGCATCTTTGCCACTGTTCAAGCACTGGTTAGTTCATCTTGTTTTACTGAATCCTTCTACTTGTCTGAATTTTTTGGAGAACATCTTGTATTAATTCTATAAGATTTATTGAATGATAAAACGTGGTTAACTTTCCAAAATCAATCCAAGAATCTGGTTTGTTGATTTTTTTTCTTAAACTTATACGCGGCTTGACTTTTTTTCTGGGTGATATCATTCTAAGACATGCCAATTAATATATGATATAGGTATTCAGTTTGTTTGAGAAAGAAAAGTGTACTAGAATGAAGAAAATGAGAAGAATTTCAACATTTATGGCTTGTTGGGAATTTATAATATAATCTAAATATTTTCAATTGTTTTATGATTAGGGAGTAACAATCTTGACAATCTCAACGATAATTCCGAGTCTTCGACCTCCAAAATGTACCCCAGGCAGTGAATCATGTATCCCTGCTAGTGGGATGCAACTAGTTGTTCTATACATAGCATTGTATCTAACCGCACTCGGGACAGGAGGCCTAAAATCGAGTGTTTCGGGTTTTGGATCGGACCAATTCGAGGATTCGGACAAGAAAGAGAAGAAACAAATGATCAAATTCTTCAACTGGTTCTTCTTCTTCATAAGCATTGGATCACTTACCGCAGTCACAGTGCTTGTTTACATTCAAGACAATTTGGGAAGGGAATGGGGTTATGGAATATGTGCTTGTGCCATTGTTTTTGGCATAATTGTGTTCTTGTCAGGCACAAGACGGTATCGTTTCAAGGCACTTGTGGGCAGTCCGTTGACGCAGATCGCCTCGGTTTTTGTGGCGGCATTGAGGAAGAGACACCGCGGGTTGCCTTTCGAACCTTCCGTTCTATACAATGTTGATGATACTGAAGTGAATAGCAAGAAGAAGAAGCAAAAGTTACCACACAGCATGGACTTCAGGTAATCTCTAGTTCAATAAATATTTTCTTTCTAGTTTTAATCTACACGATTAGTCAGCTTTAATTTTCTTATTAATTTTCCATGGTCGTAAAACTCAAGCAGTGTAATTCTTTGAAATGAGATCGTCGATAATAGGAAATAATTCATACCATAGGCTAATTAAGTCAAAAGAAAAGAGTATCATACCTTATTACCTTCCTTCTTTGAAACTTTATCAATGATTAACTTGTGTGCATTATTTGCGTATGATGAAATAATATATTATAATTTATGAGTGTGTGGTCCATATGACAGCAAACCACCAACCAAAAAAGAAAGAGGTGTCATCTGATTGGTTCCTAGAATCATTGATACTATTTAGTGACCAATTTAATCTATACTAAAGTGCTTGTTCAATATTTTCCATACAAGAAAAGTGGAAGAGCAATGGTTTAATCACCAGAAAAATAATTTAGAGCTAACTTCGTGCTTTTCTTGCATGACATTTTCTAATGTTATGTTATCTTTTGTTAGTAGTAAAAAGCTAAAATAAAAATTACGTTTTTTCAAATTAAAACCAAACATTTTGTCTAGTGCTTTCCTCATGGTATGATATCAAATAGTTGATCATTGAACCACTGAATCAAATAAATTGGTAACAGGTCCCATATTCGTTGGCCGAAGAAATATCGAGGACATATAATTGTCTAGGACGCCTTTAGTATACAACAGAACACATTTAAACATGTTTTTTTTCTTTTTTTTCTTCTTTTTCACTGTTACTTCCTCAGTCCTATTTATATAGGCTTGTTTCATTTTTCACGCAGATTAATAAATCTTATTTAATGTTACTGAAAAAGCAATTTTTGCTAATAACTTTCTTAATTTATCCCTATTTATATTTATACAATTTCAAGATTAATGGAAAAAATTGGCAATAACAAGACAAATTAAATAAGAGGATATTAGTAAATGAATAAAATAAAGCAAGCTCAATAAAGAAACAAGATTATATAATTGGGACAAGAAAATAAATAAAGTAGGTTTATATAAATGGAACATAGGGAGTATCATTTTCTCAAACATGCAAAGTTAACAACATGTATACTGTGGGTAAGTACTGCAGAAAACCATCAAAGTTTTGCTTCAATATTCACCAAGAAAAACAAATATATTTTCAAATAAATATATAATGTACTTAGAGATAGATGCATGAATACTGACATGGCAGTTGTCTTCAATAATCATAGACTGGATTAAACCAAAAAAATCCCAAGTTCACGAGCCACTGACCAGTCTGTCACCTATTCCATCGTCACGACCCTTGTCTAGTATATCAATATATATACACACATAAAGATAGCTTAGACCTTCCCCATATATGACAAAGGTTTGGTGGATCCGCCCCCCAGGGCACTTCTCCAATGGCAAAGGACGGACGCTGTCAAATCTGGCAGAGCAGAGGTCGTGAGTTCGAAACATGGGGCTCTTGGAAGGCAAGGATTTAT